GTCTCATCATTGGGCAAAAGATGAAAAGTAAATAAATATAATAAAAATAATACTAATAATAATATATGAAGTTCATCCTCACCTGGTGCGTTCCCCTCCAGTTTATCTTTCATCTCTCGGAGTTTAGTGGTCTCTTTCTCCAGAGGTTTCTTCAGATCAGCACTGCTCAACTGAAAGTATTAAGAAAATATTCCAGTGAGCTTGTGAAATAAAATCGGGGGGAACCAATCAAAGAAGTAGATACCAATCGTGATGGTTTCGGTTACCTTGCAGCTGTAGGGGTTGTGTGCGATGAAGGCGGCCAACAGCTGGATGGCACTCTTCACCACATTTATGGATTTGTCCATCAGTCGTCCAACTGCGAGCTCCATCACCTCACTGTACCTACACAGAGGCAGAGCCTAAAACACACAACAGTTTTAATTACCAAGGGTGACTTTAAGCAAATTAATTTGAACATACAAAATAAGTAATTGAAAACATACTTTGCTGTTGACAATGCGTGTGTAGACCTGCAACACACGTGCCCTGACGTGGGAATGTGTGTCATGCAGATGCTCCTGCAGCGTGTCAAAGAAGCGATCGCGGTCCGCTTTACCAGACTCGTCCAGCCCGTCGCCACACAGGACCCGCACGAGCATCTCTCCCAGTACCTCACACACAGCAACCCGCATTGTGTTGCTCTGGGAAAGGAAGGAACATGTGGAATAAGTCTTCATCTTATCTTGCTTTTGTGTCAGTAAAATAATATTTTTGTTCTACAACAGTCTAATGAAATTTTATGTATTATAAGTAGATTGATCTATCTATAATACATAAAATTTCATGCATTTCATTTTCAAATCTTATGTATTGTGGCATTTCATGGCAAATCTGGCAAAAGTTGTACCTGTGCATTAGAACTACTTCAGTACAGACACCTTTTTGTGTGTCCAGATGAGTTTCTGAACTGTGCCCTCAGATTACCAAAGAAGCAACTCATTGCTGACTGAACAGCAAAGAGAGCTGGGTGAACTCCTTGCCTCGTTCTCTCACACACACACACACACACACACACTGTCAGCTGTATCCCAGGAATTACTCCACTATGACTGTAGAAGAATAATTTGGGTCGAGCCAAGTCACTGTAGGCAGGCCCTTACAGCAGAGCAGGAAGCCTCCCCTGCACTGCCAAGATTACCTGCCAGTCAAGGCAAGAAGAACCCAACTCTCATTCAGTGAGCTCGTATTCGCCTTGGTCTCATCATTGGGCAAAAGATGACTGAACTGGAAGAAAATTAAACTTTTCTTCCCGTTTCTTGAGCTGTTTGTATCACATTTGGATAAAGACACTCATCTTGTCCTACATTAGGAGTAACGCATTGTGCCACTATCATAGCAAAACTTGACATTACAACCTGAGAACCTTTTGACAAAAGAGCAGAAATTCATACTTCATCTGCTCTGCCACTTTTAGCTTAGCTTTAAGTAGCTTTTCGAGAGTCACACTTGGAAACCAACTTTTATTCAATGCTGTGAAAGTCCCTGCCATGTGAAAACATGGTGACTAGTGGTGTGTTACCCTGTGTACAATAAAAAGAAAAGAACTCTGCTTTCTCTGCTCCTCTTTTGTGTCATCTTTTTAATATGTATTGACATTACTGCACAAGCCAATCACAACCCAGGGTAATGACAGAGCCTTAACAGCAGTAAAGGAAATTTATGAACCTAAAAGCTCAGTCCTCCCTCAGATGGGCAAAACAGCTACACAGAAAGTCTTGAGGGGCACAAAGAGCAGTGATTTGTGGGGAATGGAAATCTCCCAACTCAATCAAACAGTGGGGGTGCACTCTCATAGGCACTTATTGCTCCGCATGAGAAGCCCTGTTGCTCACAGGCAAAAGGCCACCACAATGACGAATCATTATACTCGTTTTCCTATTCAGGAGCTGTAAATCAGCAGTTCAATGTTAGTAGGATGAACATGTTTACGTGCACAGTACCTCTCCTTCCAGGTGTGTGATGAGCACACTAATGTTGGGGATCACTAATTCAGGCACCAGGGAGCCTAGCTCTGAAACGAAGGAAGCAAAAGCTTTGACCCCTGACCCCTCTCTAGCAAGCTCCTCACTTGACTTCTGACCAATCTCCCTGAAGGAATAGAAAAACACAAAACATGAACTTCCATACAAACAGTCATTTGCAATCAAAATATCAGGTTTCTATACGCAGCGCTGTAAAGGAGACGACTTGTTGGAAACTTAATAGGCAAACAAATTATGCATACTGACCGTATTACTTCTCCTATGATAGCCCTGACTCCATATTCGGTGCTCCACACAGCCACTGCCTGAGCAAAGACGGATGACAACTGCTCGAAGTGTTGCAGCAACTGGATCACCTTCACACTTGCACCTATGAGAGTTTAGAGAGTATATACAGGAGAAAAATCTAAATGTTATTGCGACCCCAAATCAGCTATCTTGTTGCTGCCGTTTACATTCTCCCAGAAATTCAAAATCAAAATATGTACTATACAATTATTTCCTGGTTGTCAGCTTATACGAATATAGATATAAACAACTAGTATTGTTTTATCTAATGTTATTATAACCAAATATATTAATTAAAGTAAATTTAATTATATTTTGTTCTATGTTGTGTAGCATGAAAGGACTAAAAACTTTACTTTACTTAACTAATTTTATGGCAAAGCTAAATTTTCATGACCCTTTATATATGACGCTCTTGAAACTGACAGGTTTGATATAAATCTCCAACAGGTTCAGCATGTGACTGAGAGACTAACCCAGGAGGTGATTGTACTTCTTAATCAGCACCCCCAGTAAGTGGATTATACAATCTCTGGTGGGTTTGCTCTTGACATGGCTGATGGTTGGGTTCTCAAGTAGTTTGTAGCAGCAACAGGTCACGCAGCTAAGAGAGAAAAGAGACAATTAAAAGAATAATTTAAAGTTTGTTCGTGTTGTCTGCTGTACATCACTGCATATTGAACACTGTGGAAAATATTCACAATGGAAACTTTAAAGGAAGCAATGTAACAGTTCCAAGATCATCTAACCTCATTATGTTAGTTGTGACATTATTAATGAAAAGGCAAAGAACAACATCATATAAGTGCCAATTAAGACTACAATGTTATCAATGCTGGGCGGGGATCCGGACAACAAAGTGGGAAGTTACACCGCCTAACTGAATTAAGACAGCTAAGCCTGATACTTTACTTTTGCCCAGAACTTCACGGTCACTAAAGTACCTAATGAACTCCTCCTCCACCAGGGAGAGGTTCCAGAGGGAACGGATATCCAGCTGAAGGAGCTGGACGAGGGCCTGCAGCACCTTCTCTCTCTCGGAGTCCCACTGCAGCAGTCCTTCTCCACCAGCTTTGCCCTTTTTACCACCCTGTGCAAGTGATACAAAATCTGATTAACTCCTCAGTAAAGCTCCATAGAAACTGAAGTCAAATACTCAACTCAATGTAATTATAATTTACATACAATACATGCCCTCAGATTACCAAAGAGTACTTCATACCCGCCAAACCAATAATGAGACTGTAGCCTCTTGCCAGCTGATACATATACATTCATACTAAACACACACAAACATCCGCACATTGTTTGACATCTTCTATCTGTCCCGTCCCATTGCTCTCGGAGGGGGGCAGAGGTTACAGAAGGTGACATGTTAACTGTGGATGGGCCCTTACAGCAATGCAATATAACTCCACCACACTACCAAGATTACCCATCTAACAGCAGGCTCGAGACCACACTCTCTTGGTCTGTCTGGATCATCAAACTTGCCATAATCTCATCATTGGGCATTTACACAGAACAATTCATCAGCATATTCAAGTATTTCTTAGCATTTTCTCTCATAACCATACCTTCGCAGGTGCTGTGATAATACTCTGTCTGTACGAGTCACTCTCGAACGTCTCTGTGAGTTTGCAGAGAAGGTAGACGCTCATTTTAACTGCATTCAGTTTCTCCTTGCGTTCTGCAGCTGAGACGGAGGTGGAGAGAAGAAGTGCAGGCAGGGATGCAGCCAGGCCACT